AATGGAAAAAATGATACTGTGGTGGACCAGACAGATATGAACGCGAAAAGTATGAACAAAGTTACTAAAGATCAATAGTAATATTAATATATACAGTTAATTGTTACAAATACAATAAAAACTAGGGACGTTACTTAAATTGACCAAACGTTGCGTGTTCTAATGTAAATCCACAATTATAAATGCTTGATGATTCTGAGCAGGTTGGCGAACTCTCTAGTGATATAATCCCACGTAGAATGTGATATATTCCAATTACAGTCTATAAATAATGATAATATTCGATTTCGACTTCAGCTAACTCAATCGCAAACGAAAATAGAACGAGGGGTGTGTGAGTAGTAATGTAATTGTTAGCCCGCAAGAATATGTCACGCTATGTTAGAATCACAACGGAAAGTGTGTCCAAGGTCATTTGCTAAAACAAGTTACAGTCATTTAATGTTAAATATGCAGACAGTGTAAGGTTGACAAAATAAATACAAATAACATTGAAAACTATTTACAAAATAAGGTTGTCAGGTCTATCTCCACAATACAAATCATCTGCTGACCACCTATTTGAGGAAGATCTAATAGATCCATCACAACACGGCTTCATTAAAACACGTTCCTGCAGCACATGGCTGGTTGATTTCTCTTAGGAGATCACTAACCTACGTGACCAAAATAAATTAGTGGTTATATTATATCGCGATATTGACAAAGCTTCTGATAAGGTACCACATAAACTCCTAGTCAGCAGGCTTCAGTCATTTGAAGTTAAAAACCTCCTATTGCAATTGATTAAGTCTTTCCTCACAAGCACATACCAAATAACCAAGATTAACTCTAAAACATCTACACCTCGATTAATAACCAGTGGTGTTGTGCAGTGTAGTGTCTTGTGTCCATTGTTTTTTAGTCTACACCAGCAATGTATGCAGGCGTTTTAACACAGGTAAGACCTACCTGTTGTTAACCTTAAGTTTGGCTAGTTATCACTTAAGTTATTCGCCCATCGAAATATAACTCATTCACTTATGTACTGTATTTAACCAATGACGTTCGACCGGTCCGATCAGCCTGGAGTCCTTATTGGCCCTTTTCTTCTCTAGCCCGTCCAGTTGAGTCCATAACACCAACAATAGCTTCCGCCATGCGAATCATTTATTTCAGACATACTTACTTTATATATCAGCCAAGACGACTGCATCGCACCATAAAATAGGAAATGACATTTATACAATTTCAGGCCAAAACGTGACTGTGAACGTGAGAGACAGTAATTAATAAACTGAGTATAATTTAAGAACAGTAAATCGTATAATGATAACTTATAAGTCAAAATGAGGCTTATAATAAGAAAAATAATTTGTAAATGCCTGATAAGCTTGTAAAATGGTACTTATAGAAATACTGCTTTCCAACAGGATGTGAAAGACAGAACATCGTGTGAAGCATAATCTTTATCGAAAAATAAGCTTTAATGAGTCTGATCCCACAAATTGAGAGAGTCTAAAGCAGGTGTCTCACGGATCCACTCACAACGGACTACCATAAGCTGCCTGTCCAGAATTCGCATGATTATCAATCTCTACGTACTAAAAGAACTTTTGGTAAACATTTATATGTATTAGTGGTTTTATCAAGTCGCATGTCGGTTAAGCAATAACGAGATCAGGAAAGTCTAACCGTAACTAAATAAACCATATTGAGCTTAACAAACCAACTGGAACACTAGTTGGAACTCTTTCTCCCCGAGGTTATACTTTTGTTCCTCCCGTTAGCCTACCAAAGCTAGTGCAAGAGGAAATCAACTCATACGGACAGCATACCAACGTGAACATCAACTGACCTAATTCAAACCAAAACAGTACTAACACCAAATTTTCTGCAATATTGATCGTTACCTTTTGTATGAGCACAAAGTACTTATACTGCTCACAAATTAACCTGTTAACCAACGGTTATTATCATGCATCTTAATGTGACCTGTTAAAATATCTCTATACTAAATAATTCTTCATTGTTGCCATCCCACTTTACTTGACGTTAAAACAACGTTCATGTGGATTTTCATTTTAAGCGTGTTAAGCATTAAACCAAACATATCGGTTTTATTACACATAGTTCTCGATCACTTGTTGCTGCGTTCTATTTGATTTATCTTCCAGCTTATCAGTACCCAGAGGATTTTTATTGTCTTTTGATAACCTCTGGTGCGCTGCAATCCCGTTCGAATTTCCATCGAGCCAACGTCACGTTGATTCTGGTAGGAGAGCAGTGTAATGGTCTTATTTCCTATCCGCACGAACATTGAAGCCTAGCATATAACTACTGAGAGTATTTACATCCAACATATAACACTAAGGAAAGGCCCAAAATAGTGAACTCGGGAACAGTCATTCGTTATCGCATGGGTCGTTCTTGCAGGTGTGGTTATTATGTATTATTTATCACTATTCACATCTTCTTACCATCCTTTTCAGCCCCACATATGAAACGGGTGACTTTATTCTGCTCCATCGTCAGTGCCTCAGATGTACCAGAAGGATATGACGTTGAGGTTTATGGGGGCTCTCAACTTTACGTGGGCTTATTATCGACCATTAATAGCACGTCGCAACGCAGCCCTTTTGAAGCGCGCCAACTCATACGGACAAAGCGAGTTTTACAAATATTATTTACATTCATATGTGGGAAGTGTTATTGCCCATAATTCTATGAACAATTAACTTTATAAAATGCCATCCTAACTGAATAACCTACTACAATGAAGACTGTATAATCCGTAACAGTTTGATCTTGCTTGTAAACTGGCATGCTTCATGTAACTTACTGTTATTTGAGAAAAAAATAATACTATATATTACTCTATTCCCAGCCCAAATGTGTTCCTCGGACGTGTTAACCATAATATTGTTAATTATAACCATGGGACGAGCCAGTGTGGAGAATGACACGACCTCTAGGTAAGATTTTATAGACTAGGTAGTCACATCATGAGAAATCTACAACTTTGGCGAAAGGTCGATTATTACAGTAGTACTAACACCAAACCAGATTATAATTCTACAAATCAATAAAAATACTCTCAACAAGATAGGATCAGATATCCATCCACAAGGATTTTGGCAACCTTTTCAAGCAGACGGTCAGGGGATAACAGTCAGACACTGAACCAAGCCGTGATCTTGAGTTTGGTCGAACACGACCTTATTCTCAATAGTCCGGCAACATACAACAGTAAGATTAAGTAACAAAACATAAGTATTTAGTAAAGGCCACATAATAAAAGCTTGGAAGAGGAAGAGTGGAGAACAAAGAGTGTGGTTAATAGAAACCTAGATGGAAATGAAATAAAAGACAGGGAGAAGGAATAAATGAATAGCAATACTGTCGAGTAAAATGCTTTGGAAAGATTTTCACAGTACTCTTTCTCCTGCAAAAGCTTCTCACCTTCATTTCGTTCCCCGGTCGCTCTTAAATAAAAGTTTTTCTGCTGTAGCAGTAAATAAATTCCCAAAATAAATATCTCTGTAAGTTTTCGACATTAGATGCTGACCATATGTTTTAGTGGACTCATCTAGCTGAAGGCGCTCGGTCAGGCATCCGCACCACATCACGTGTGGTAACGCTATGCTCAACATCTACCACAATCGCTAGCCAGATTAGATCAGAGAATTCCGATATTTTGGTTATCGCCAAATACACACTTCCGATCTCCTCGACTCTGTCTTTTGATTTCTCTGGGTGGAAAAGAAATATATTAGGTGTTACTGGTAGAAGCGTTGTCAAACACTGAATATCTGTGTCATTCTTCATTGGTGAGCCCGACGTGATACGAACACGCAGCCTTCTGATCCTTCGTCCTCTTCAATGAACATGGATCTAACCTACTACACGAACAGGCTTACAAACGCAATGCGTTCAGTTAAACCTGCTTCCACTCGACCACAATCCACCGATGTTTTCGTTCAACCTAACTTACAATATAGTACACACGTTTTCGTTCGTCGAGACTCGCATCGACGACCTTTCGAATCAGCATACGAAGGACATTTCAAAGTTCTTCAACGCGAACCGAAGTACTATCTAATCGATAAGAACGGAACCAACGATAGCATCAGCATCGATCGCCTCAAAGCAGCGTATTTAGAAGGAAATCCTATCTACGTCGATTTTCCTTCGGTACAATCGAACGACACGACTCCACTCATAATTCCTCAACCAACAACCAACACTAGCGATGATACTCCGAATGTATCTGAAAACAAACTTAAAACGACGCGTTCTGGAAGAAGAGTTAGATTCCCAGAACATTTAAACGATTACTGCACGTAAGGCACTACATGCATAGATCGATTTACCAGATTCCCTATAGCCATCCCGATAGCGGACATCACAGCGGAAACAGTAGCCAAAGTTTTCATGCAGAACTGGGTAACCATTTTTGGTACACCCATAAAAATAACGACGGATAGAGGAGCGCAATTCGAATCCGAACTATTTAATAACTTGGCTAAACTTCTAGGCTCCAATAGGATACGCTGCACTGCATATCATCCTCAGGCTAATGGGATGGTAGAACGTTTTCACCGTCAGCTAAAAACCGCTCTTATATCTCACTCAAACCCCAATCAGTGGACAGAATTCCTACCGTTAGTTATGTTGGGAATACGAACATCTGTCAAAACTGACGCACAGTGTTCAGCTGCGGAACTGGTTTTCGGAACAACTCTGAGACTACCAGGTGAATTTATTAACCCTAATAATAATAATTTATTCTCAAATAACAGTTTGTTACATGAGGCATGCCAGTTTACAGGCAAGATCAAATCGATACAAATGATACAATATTTACTGTAGTAAATTACATAGCTGGGTTGATAATTTATGAGATATGAAGGTAGATGGTTTTAAACAGTCAAAAACTTAACTTAGAAAATTACGTAGATCAACTACGGGACCATATGTCCAAACTTAAGCCAATTAATACTCGTGAACAATCACGCGCCATATATGTACCTAAAGACCTAAGCAACTGTACGCACGTCTGGATAAGATGTGACAAAATAAAAGCACCACTCAATCCTCCATTTGAAGGTCCTTTCAAAGTCGTCTCAAGAAAATCTAAATATTTCGTGATAGAAAAACATGGAAACATCGACACAGTAAGTATTGATAGGCTAAAGCCGGCTTATCTAGATCATGAACCACCATACGTGTTGTTAGATCGTCTAAATGACAAATCCATTACGGAATAGAAATGTAAGAATGAAAAATCTTTACAAATGACCAAAACGGTTCGCTGGGCACATCCGATTAGTCAGTCAAGGATGTTGACAGTTTCGGCTGCAGGATAGAATCTAACCACGTAGCTAATCAGACCCTGCATCTACTTAAAAAATTTTTTTCCTCATTCCGCCTCATCTACAACTCCCCAGACCTTTTACCTTTGATATATAAGTGTTATGTTAAATATTTTTTTAAATACTGGACACATAAGCCAGGTATTCCGAAACGATGGCTGAGGATTTTAATCAAACTCATACAACTAACACTGGCAAATACAACGAATTCAAAGAGCAACCCAGGCGAGCTTTATAATTTCTTTTTCTGGTTAATTAAATATGTTGGCTTTACTTTTTATATATCTATATACATTTTTCACACAGACTGGCCACAATTACTTAAGAAGCACTGATTGGAGAACTTTCTTTACCTCAAACAATACCGACACATTAATCAATATATTTTATCACAACATCAAAAGTATCATCAACAACATCGCACCTTTAGAATACTGTAAACCTACGTTCTCCAAAGATCTCTATATACCGGTCAGTACAAGAAGACGTCTTCAAAGACATTGTACTCGATTCCACAACTTAAATGACTTTTCCTCTTTAGTAACGATGACAGAAATACTTGTCCGAACAGAGGCAATAAGTAAACAAAAAGCAGTAGCACAGGAAAAACGTGCAGTTGAACTTAGTAATAACTCCTCTGCACTCACCATACTACTCCAAAATAAACTTAAACGCTCTAAATCGAGAGGGAGTATATTCATTAAAGGCAAACAAGTATACGAAGATCCCAAACTTATCACAGAATTATTTAGTGAACATTTTTGTTTCTCACTAACTAACGAAAAACCATTTAATGATTCAGAACCAATCCCAGTAACTCCCTGTGAAATTACAAATGTAGAATTCAGTGTACAAAATATCTCCAAGGCAATCAGTACATTGAAACACTCCTACACTGATGGACCAGATGGTATCCCATCTAGCATGCTAAAACGTGGAGGTGATGATATGTGTGTTTTGCTTCTCAAACTATTCGCGATATCACTCTCTTCAGCGTGTTACCCTACTGCCTGGAAAACTACACATATCATTCCCAAAATTAAAACAGGACCTGAAGCAAACGTTGAAAATTACCGGCCTATAAACATAACTTCAGTGGTATCCAGAGTGATGGAAAAAGTAGTTAAGGCGGCTGTAGTCCAACATCTACTAACTAATAATCTCATCTCGACCTCCCAGCATGGATTTCTTAGGTCCAGATCATGCGATACATGCCTAGTAGACTACCTGAATGATATAACTCTGAAACGAGACAGCGGACTCCTTGTATCAGTCCTATTCCTTGACTTTAAGAAAGCCTTTGATAAGGTCCCACACAAAAGGCTACTCGTCAAACTAAAGTCCTTCGGAATACACAACCCACTGTACTCATGGTTTGCTTCGTTCTTAACAGAACGTAAACAGATGGTAAAGTACAATGACTGTCTCTCGTCCCCTAGACCAATCACCAGTGGAGTCATCCAGGGAAGCGTATTAGGTCCACTTTTGTTTCTTATGTATATAAACGATATATGTAACACCATAGAATTTGGGAAACCATACTTATATGCTGATGATCTCAAAATAGTATACAGCTATAAGCCTGAGACACTAAGCGAAAGTGTATCCCAGATCCAAAAGGACCTCAATAACTTAACTATATGGAGTGAAAAATGGCAATTACCATTTAACCTCAACAAGTGCGGGATCATGCACTTTGGAAAGCATCCCTATAAACCGCGACTTCACTTAAATGAATGTAGAGTCCAAACATTCGAATCAGTACACGATTTAGGAATTAATTACACAGGAAGCCTAAACTTTGAAGAACATGCCTCCTATATTATTTCTAAATCTAGACGGCTAATTGGTTTTATAATGAAAAACTTTTTCACAACAGAGGGTAAACTTACTCTCTACAAAATATGTGTACGACCCTCCCTTGAATACTGCTCTTTTGTCTTCTCTAATATGAATATCGCAGACAAGATAAGAGTAGAAGAAGTTCAAAGACGTTTCACACGTCAACTACTAGGATGTAACTCGAATCTCGATTACACAGAAAGATGTAAGCATCTATCTTTAGAACCTTTATGGCACCGTAGGCTAAAAAACAATTTAATATTTCTCTACAAAGCGATATATGGGCTCTCCTTTCTAACCTCCTGCCCGACTATCACCCACGACCCAGCCTATAGACTTAGAAACAACGCATATACACTACTTACCGTAAAACACCAAAAACAAATGCGTTGTAAGTTTTTTACAGTACGGTACAGTTTATTGTGGAACAGGCTGCCAATGCCTATCCGTAACTGTGATACGTTTACCAGATTCAAAAAGCTAATAACCCTATTTCTAGACTCCAAAGAGCTTCAACATTTCCTTGAACTCCCGCCCACCAAGGAGGCACTTTATTACGGACCGCCTAGTGTCTAGAAAGAACAAAATTATAACACGTTCGACTGTTACTAATATGAATATAACCAAATCACAGAATATATGGGCTATCCTTTCCTATTATTCATTGTTTATTAATCATGACTTCATGCTCCTAACCCTAGCTTTCAGTCCCCAAATCTCTACAGGTTAAATGTACATTATTCTTCCTAAAAGTCATGCTTTTTTTTTCTACTGCAATTAGACAGATAGCTCAACCTTATGGATGCTGATCTACTAAGGCCGATCATACAAAGCTCAAAATTTGGCCACAAAGTCTTGTGAGTTTCTCAATGTTTTATTTGTCTTACCCTGAAATCTTTTTTTTCTTTCTACAATTTTATACCCTCTCATATCTTTTGATTTGCTATTAGTCCTTACTTCTTTAAACCATTAGTTATTTTCATAGCAGTGTGATATACTATATGGACATCTAACCCCCCAAAAAAGACTTTTCAACTATCTGATTTGCTTGTAACATGGACCTAGTAGAGACAGTGTATTCCAACTATGGGCTTTGATTAAAGCAGTATTCATACTTACCACAAACGTAAGAGAGCCTAACATCACAAAAGGAGGGAGGGTGGCGTTACTGACCAGCAAACATGAAGGTGGGGAGATAACTTCAATCCACCCATGTCTGTAGGGCAGAACATTTTGTTTAATTACGGCTCCTTATGTTTTAGTGGGATGTCACGAACTTATGGTATTGATGCTGATTTATCACGCAAAATACCTCTTTAAATCGTGTTACGAACGTTGAATTGGTTTCACTTCCTACCCAGAAATCCTATTACAAGCAAACTAGACAATTCGCTAATATACGAAGCCTACTCAAGACCCTATAATACCTGAAAAAAATAATAATACAAAAAAAACGAAAGGGGCTCTAATAGCTTCGATAATAAAAGGAAGATAGCCAATTGTATATCACAATACTGTTTCTAGCACTAGATTTTATTTTATAATCACAAATAATCCCATACTTTCAGCTCCTTTACGAATCGCCTCCATTTGTCAGTTGTATGTCCACTCACACCTTGTTATCACTTATTTTCTTTAACCTATTAAAATGCGATTTCTTAACAAATACCTTAATAAAAGAAAATTAGACTGAGTAATCATACCTTGAACATTCCTTCATGAATGTTGGCTACTCTACCCCTCGTGTTTTCTTTTACTTGCTCCCTCTTTCAGCCCCCTTGAGATATGGAACGAATGACTTCATCCTGCACCATCCTTAAAGCCTTGGATATTCCAAAGGGACATAAGGTTGCGATTTCTAGAAGCTCATACCTTCAATGGACCTATCCTTGACCACCAGTCGCACATTTGCAACGCAACTTTCATGAAGCGCGCTAACTGTAGAACTGCTTAAAACCATCTACATTCATATCTCATAAATTATCAACCCAGCTATGTAATTTACTACAGTGAATATTGTATCATTTGTATCAATTTGATCTTGCCTGTAAACTGGCATGCCTCATGTAACAAACTGTTATTTGAGAATAAATCATTATTACTATTATTATATATACCATATGAACTACTGCTAAAAGTTTTCGGTCGAAGATATTTCTAGTAGCTTGATACGATCAATATTACTATTAATAAGGGGTTTTTAGACAAAACATTTTGGATTAAACCATGGTCAAGTACTTATTAAAGTTTTCATCATTTTTTTCATGTTTAAGAAACTTATGTGATGACTTAACCAGTTTTCCTGCAGCATGCTTTTTAGTGTGATCATATAACCCATATTTATTGGCAATATTCAGATTTTTTTAAATTTCTGACATTTAAGAATCAATAACCGTGGAGATATAGTACAGTGCGTTACTGTAAGGTTACTATGTTAGCCGCATTGATTCCACATACCTAATTTTAAACACAACTTATAAAGGAACTGTTAAGTAATCATAACATTGAACTGACGATATGACTATCATGGCTATGTTGACGTTAAACCAATTATTATTAGTGGTCCATACAAAATCCTGGAACTTAACACGAGCGTTATAAAAAAGACATGTTATGTCAGTAACTTATATATATACTTTTCTTCTCTCGGTTTAAGTATAACGTAAAATGGAAATCTACCAAACTTGTAGTTTTTTTTCTATAGTATTATTAGTAATACAAACAAAGAACTTGTACTGTTCCAATATGGCATTTTGACATATCAATCCGTCCTCCTGTTATCTTTCTCTCATATCTGAGCAACTTATGGCCAACAAACATCGTATTGAAGGGGGTTTTGATGAACAAAAACGCATGCCCCACACGCACTCGAACCTTCGCCCTCATAAATACTAGACCGCGTGCCTAGCCATTAGACCACATCAGACCACGAGGGGAATGACTGCAATCTTTCCTTTTACCGATTAATCATTCATAATACTAATGAGTAATAGGACTTACACACTTCTAAGGTGCAGACAAATTCGTTATTTGGATGAATCGACGAAATATTGCTTCAATATATCATACATATTTAAATCAAACCAGAAAAGAGTATTTGACACAACTGTACTTGATCCTCATACTCTACACAATTTTTTTCTCTATAACCGTATATTCTTTTCCGTTTTGTGGAGTAAAATTATGCACCCTTGGTTACGTACCTGGTTATAAAAGGCGGTCGTCATAGGCCCAAGGTCATACATTTGATCGGGTTTGACAATGAGTCCAACTTCTAGCAAGTTTACACTTTTACATATATGCATTATAAAAAAGTATTTTTTTTGTTTTCATACCTTTTCGTACACAAGATGGCTACGCTATGTCTATTTCCTTCCAGAATACCAATCCTTTCTGGAGGCCAATCACTTACGTGGAACCGAACGATTATCAATTATATTTATGTATTTCCGTATTGTATCCTATTATTTTGATGCAGGCGGTGGAGCTGTTCTTCAAGTTTGATTGGTTTTCACCATTACCTTTGAAGTGGATTCTTCTTTACTTTTTACTTGAGGGCGACTCAAGAGGCAGGTGAGTAAACACCTGATAGCCGGTCTGAGCATGAAAAAATCGTACCTCACCAACATGGTGTCGGGTAGCCCGCTCGCGGCACTTCCTCAGATATTCTTATTCCACATTCTCACACTCTCTCTTGAAAGCACGCAGCAAACCGTCAGCGATAGTTGTAGAAGAAATCACATGCTACAAAATAAGATGACAAGCTAGTAAATGAAGAGACATCCATGGACTATCGTTGAAGGCTGACAGCGTTAGTTGCCACTGCCTGTAAGTCAAACATTGAGCGAGTTGATAATTTTCCCTTGGGATGAGAAATAGAACCAAGGTGTTTTTTATAGATAAGTTAATCGAACCGACGTTCCTACGGAAGTCGATTCTAGGGGAAGCTACTGTAACAGCATAGGTTGGTTGGTTAAGAGTTGACCCCAAACAACCAAGCATATGCCAAAACAGTATTGTTCAAGTATTCATTCACTTCCTTATTTTGTATAAGCGTTATATTCCCTATTATCTTATATTGAATGTTGAAAGCTTTTGTTTGTCTGAACAGATAATCCCACGCTCCATTGTGACTGCGCTAAGATCGAAATAAAGACCTATTCACTACTTGTCTGGTTTCTTCTATCAATAGCACGAGGGTTACCTTAATGCACGAAATCTGTTCCTTTTTGGGATTTTTATATATTATTGCCTTATTTTTTATACATTGTGATATTTTTTCCCGTGTCTCAGGATATCTATACATATAAATTTATCCCTCGTATTCTCGTACTTAATATCCCCCGATGACCGAACAGACTCCTAAGGTATTTTAGATTAAGACCATTTCCCCACTCTCGTTCCAGCTCATGCCCTTCTGACCCGACAACATCGAAGCCTGGTTCTGCTACGCAGAAGACGACTTCTCCGAGCACGGCGTGACCGACACACGCACAATTCCTCGCAGTAGTCAAGGCACTACCGCACGAATTCAACAGGTACGTAACACCTAGTATGTTTACGAGTGATGTTTCTGAACCTTACAAAACCTTAAAACGTCCGATTCTTAAACGAGGAGACCTAACCGATCGACAAAGGTTAGATCAACTCTTCAATAACATCGACCTGCAACACGGTTCTGCGACGAACATGTTGCTTTCGACGGAGGTCTATTCAAACAACTCTTCTTGTCTAAACTTCCCCAACAGGTGCAAGCGGTTCTGGTCTCGTTTCAGAACAACGCCTTAGACGAACTGGCTGCATCTGCCGATCGTATCTTAGAAATTACGAAATCTTCTCCTACCGAGGCATTTCCAGTCAAAGAAAAGCCTCACACGACTCAGAATGACATAACCGAGTTATGTCATACACTCACGCGTTATCTTAATCTTCGTAACGACCTTAATCGCTCGCACACTCCACGTAGAAGCATTTCACGTAAGCGATCTGTCTCTAGACCACGAGAGATGGATAATCCCGACTGGTGCTGGTATCATAACCAGTATGGAAAGTCCTCCAGAAATTGCAGAAAACCCTGCAATTTTCCCATCTCAAAACCGACTGACTCGAAAAACAATTCGGGAAACTTCCAAGCCGGCACGCGTTAACGGCAACCGTAGCCGGCGAACATAGCTGTCTGTTGTACGTCACAGATGTGACAACGAGAGTTCGCTACCTCGTCGACACTGGCGCAGAAGTTAGCGTTCTCCCAGCGAATCCCAACGACCGGCTTCACAGATCGACTTTAAACTTACAGGCGGCAAATGGAAAACCTGTCGCTACGTATGGCAAAAGGTACGTTTACCTTAACGTGGGTTTACGCAAACCCATCCACTGGATCTTCGTTGTTGCAGATGTTTCTATGCCAATCATTGGTATGGACCTTCTACAACACCATAATCTAACCATCGATACTCGCAAACGGAGGCTAGTAGACGAAACCACTAATTTATCCGTTTGCGTAACTTCTTTTTCTGGTTGCAGATTATCTCCGGTCACAATTAAGCATACGATAGACCCACTTTATCAACCACTACTCGATAAGTATCCTGGCATTCACCAAACGCGACCGAAATAACCGTGTGTAACCAGCAACGTCACACATCACATCACGACTACAGGACCACCTGTATTCTCCAAAGCACGACAACTAGCCCCTGAAAAGCTAAGGTTGGCGAAAAACGAGTTCGATCACATGATAGACTTAGGGATCATACGACCGTCAAATAGCCCATATGCATCTCCGTTGCACATGGTCCCCAAAAAGGACAGCAACGATTGGCGTCCAACTGGCGACTATCGGTGATTGAATGCAAAAACCATTCCCGATCGTTACCCGTTGCCTCACATTCACGATTTGACAGCTACCTTGAAAGGTACAACTGTCTTTTCAAAAATCGATTTGGTTAAAGCGTATAACCAAATTCTTATGGCTACTGAAGACATTCCGAAAACCGCCATCATTACTCTCTTCGGACTCTGTGAATTTTTGCGAATGCCGTTCGCTTTAAGAAACTCTGCTCAAAGATTCATAGACGACGTTTTTCGAGGTCTCAACTTCGTACATGCGTATGTTGATGACTGCCTTATCTCAAGTTCGGACAGAGAATCACATCTTAAGCATCTGGATCTTGTTTTCGAACGACTACAAAAACATTGCATTACTGTAAACGTTCAGAAATGCTAAATCGGGACCGACTCATTAGACTTTCTGGGACACACTATCGATGCTCAAGGAATCCGACCCCTTAGAGCCAAAGTGGCGGCCATTCTGGATTACCCAGAACCGACCAGCGTCAAGCAATTACGCACGTTTAACGGCCTGGTAAGTTTCTGTAGACGCTTCATACCGAAATGCGCATTACTTATGAGGCCTCTTACCGATCAACTTCGTGGAAATGCGAAATCCATCAATTTGGACGACACCACACGGGAAGCATTCTCCACGATTAAGGAACTCCAGTCATGAACATTTTCTCACAATAACGTTAGTGTCAAACTATCCTTACAGAAGAAAACTTTTCATTTTCAGGTTGACGACGGCATACAGCGCAGCAACCGAGACATCTGGGGCCACAGAACACGTGAAACTTGTGTCAGTTTGAAACATCATGGTACCAACCCATCTACCACAATTTGGTCTTTTTTGCATCGAGGTATATACAACTGTCAGGGATTTATCTATTCTTTAAGGGTACCAACGAAACCAGATTGCCTGGACATCAAGTTGGGGCGGGTCAGCCTAGGGATATATAAAATAGTCCGATTCAATGCAGACCGCGTAAGCTAGGTGGTTAAATAATTAGAACCAATTCCAGTCAATAAAAACTATTAACAGAACGGAATTAGTGAGCTTATTATGTCGACTAAAATCGAACATCTGAAGGATCGTAGGTACCACTATTAAAACGACTTGATAATTTTAAATAAATCATTATAAATAGAAGTAATATATTTGTAAGAGATGAGTAGAGTTATTTTTTCTACTAATCGGGATGTTACAAATATATTAATTTTATTTAGGTTTCAATTGGTTTAACTAAGTTCTACACTGAAGAATAACTACAAGAGCA